TGAGATTAACATTTTTGTTTAGCAAGGAAAACAAACTGAACTGTAATTTTTGGACATTTCGAAGTTCGTGCATAATCTAACTAGATCTAGATTCCATTTTATAGTCTTGTGGAGGCATTTGAATGTGTGACGTTGGGTGACATGACTTTTTTCCCCCCCTGTGTAAACAAAAACAACATTGACCTTCCTGCTCTACTGTTTCGTCTCGTCTAGCCAATTTTATTTTTGGACATTTTCCAGAAGGTAATGCAACCATAGTATTCCTACTCAGTACAATTTGCACTACTATATAGACACGATCTAGATTAGATAATTATATAGGACTCTAGATGATTTGATTGCATCTAGTCATCTAGATTTAAGATTTATATTTAATTTAGTACAATCATCAATAAGTATTATAATTATAGTTTTTTTTAATAGTATCCAATAGTCATAGACTGAGTCATGAGTAGTTACTCATATTATATTTAACTGTTACTGTTAATTATTTAATGAATGATGCCTTTTGTTTTGAAGATCGTTTTAACAGAATGTGACAAAATACTAGAGATCTAGAATAATCTAGATCTATATATTAATATACAGATCTAGCTAGATCTACTGTAGTTGTAGTAGTAGTAGTTGTCGACTCTAAATAATAAAATTAAAATATCATGATTATACATGATATATTATTTTATGATGTATATTAATAATATAGATCTATAGATACTTTCATGCTTATAGCATGCTCAGAGCGCTTTGGTCCAATCTCAGTTGGACAAGTGGGGGAGGGGGGGATATCTTGAAATAGGTTTTTCTGTGCTGCCTTTAGGCGCTCAGTAAACACAACTCTGCCAGTGTCAGATGCCCCCTTCATAGGTAGCCAAGCCAAACTAAGTTCAAGCGCACTTAGCCTCTCGACCATGCTTCCCACCTGTTTCAAAGGACAGGTTGTCATGGCCAGGGGGTGTCAATGTGGATAAGCTCCCATTGTCTATAATATATATATATATATATATATATATATATATATATATATATATATATATATATATATATATATATATATATATATATATATATATATATATATATATATATATATATATATATATACCGGTATAAATAGAGAGAGAGAAAGGAAGAAATAGTTCTGCTTACTAAACATTATTGCCTCTAACATGTTTAAATAATCTTTGATGTTTATCAGCATTTCATTGTTTTGTTTATATGCGATCACAAATATTTAAATTGGTTTACTATTTAAAATTGAGATTTATATTTTGCTTCTTTACTGTTGACTTCTATTGACATAGTCATGTATTTAGTTATGTACTTCAGTCTTGCATTAAGTAATGTCTTTTCTAATTTCTTTATCATAATTTATTTTTCTGAAAAATGCTAAATCAGCACCATAAGTAAATGAACAGTGGCTGCCTAGTTATTTGATATGTACATCAGATTGTTGTCATGATAGACCAGAGTCTGCGATCCGGCAGGAGATATGGATTAGGAAATAGTTATCTTTGTTTCTTAATTAAGGAACATTCAAATCATATTAAATTGTGTCCATTAGTTGCAGTTCTTTAGTCTCTAGGAAAGTATTTTCAAATTATTCTCCTGGTTTTAATAGGTATGTTTCTACTAAGCCTCTCTTATGTGGTATTAAAAAGTGTAGAAAAATGTGATAAGATAATATTCAGGTTTATGAATACTCATCATGTTTTTTTTGAATTTATTATAATGCTATTTTGTATGTATTAATCGTACACATTAGTTAAGCATTCTGAGTCTTGCGTAGTTTTATAAAATAAGTATTTACTTTTGGTGGTGTCTTTAGAAAGTAATTTTGTTTTCATGCCATTTGGAATGCTTTTTTTTCTTCTCCTCTCCAGAAATCCTCTAGGCAAATATTTCGTCAAGATTTTGGCATATTTCTCTTGATAATCATACTTGGGTTCCTGTTAGATATAATTTTATTATAACCAACTCTTCTTCTGTTTAGGTGAGGCAATTTCTAACCAAAAGCAATTTGCAAAGAGAGTTATCTGAACTTGATCAAGAAGCAACTCTTCAAGAATCCACCATGCCTGTTTTAGTGGAGGCGCTCCCAGAACTGGCAGTTGTCACAATGGAGGAGGCCAAGCTTACAATTGAGATCAAGGTTGGGACAAACATTGACTAAGGAATTAATTCATTTTTATTTGTCAATTACTATTATTTTTTGAAGATCACCTGTTAGGCCTTGTGAAACACTGTGTGCCGCAGAACAGTTTGGGAACTCCCAGTCTAGCACTAAACAAAGTTATTCAGTTTATAATACATGTAATTTAAAATTAAAAACTGTTTGATAGAATTTACATTATTTTTTGCTATTTTCTTCTTCAGCCTCCTAAAGCCAAAAAGTACAAGCCTGAAGATGAAGAGCTTGATGATGAAGACTATGAGCCCCCTTCTTCTGCAGAGATTGAAGTTATACACAAACACCCTACACCAAATCTACATGGTATTTTGAAAACACGAACACCTTCAGAGTCTAGTGAAGAAGTAAATGGAATGGAACCAGAAAGTCCTAGATCTGAAGGAGAAGAACTCTCCTCTTCTTTTAGCAAGAAAAGATCAGTCTCTTTTAGCAACCATGTTGACAAAGCTTCATTCAAATCATTTGCTTCTGTTTCCAGCATGACGACGGTGCTGAAAAGCAAAAGACGGCGTCAGCGCAAGCGTGATGAAAAGCGCCAGGGAAGAATGCGCAGGGCCAGTGAGGGCACTAGCAGCAGCGAAGAATGCATTAATTCATTAGATGCTCACTCTCTGAGCGAAGGAGAGGGCTCGTTGGAAAAGCCCTTGCCTAAGTCAGGTCTTTCTCGTGCCTTGTCAGACCCTGGCCCTAATATCTACCCTGACAAGGTTAACCAGAAAGAAAAAAAGAAAAATGGCAATAAAAAAGGCAAAAAAGGAAATCATATTTCAGATAAAAAGCCTGAATCAATACCAAAAGATGCTAGTGTCATTGATTTTAGGACTAGTGGTGCACAAAGTGGTGATAAAGTAATATCTTCTGAAACCTGTGATAATTTTGAAGAAAGTTTGAAAGGTAAGCCTATTGGTAAGAATGAATGCGGTGAAGTAAATGGAGCCGAAAATTTCCTTGAAAAGGATGGGGATAAGAAAAAAAAGATTATTTCTGAAATCAGGAGTAAACTGGCTGGGGGTGATACTACTGGAGAAACACCTTGTGACAGACATGATAGTGATGACGATGATTTTGTTGATGCTGTGAGCTCAATGGCAGATGAGTTCAGTGGAAAAATTTCTATCACTGACAAATGTGATAAAGAGAATGTTGTGTCAACGAGTTGCGATCAAGTTTTTCCAGTGAACGAAGATGACCAAAAGAGTGGGCCCCAGAAGAAATTGACTGCTGACAGACTCAAAGAACATTCCGATGTTGAGACTATTTTAAGCTGGGAGGATGGGCCACAAAGAAACGATTCAGAACATGTGACTAAATGTCCTTTTGAATTTTCCAATGCTTTGATTTATGAACTAGATATTGATTGAGAACATGGAGAGGCTGTGTTGACATCAGTTTATCTAGTTAAAATTATTATGATTTATTTAGGGAAGTGTGGATTTTCTAATGAAATTATACTCTAGCAATTCTTTTTTATTTCTGTTATTAACTAAAGTAGCCAGTTAATTGGTTAACAGAAATGCTAGTGTGTGGGATAAATAAAACCCTTCTATTTTCACTTAATTGCTCTTTAGTGTGGAGTTTTATGAGTTAAATTGTTTTACTTTGTACTGTAAATGTGTGATTTATTTTTACAATAGTACAATTAGTCACTATTGAATTTTTTTCCTTATAAAAATATATCTATTTTTTTTGTTGTTGCATTTCATTTTGTGCATTTTTTTTTTTTACATTTACTTTATCTAAGGTTAATTTTCTAAAGCACAGTTTGTGAAATGTCTCCCTTTATTTAGTGACAACTTTGATTTTGCTTTATGTTAAATATTTACATTATTTTATATTTCAGTACTTTTCTACTTTTTGGCAATGTGGACTAGTTTATAGAGATGTTTTTTTTCTTTGTTTTTTTGATGGGCAGCAAAGCATTTATAAACATTTTTTGTTTGAAGTCAAAAAAAAAAATACCCGGGATATTTTGGCTCTTATTATGTTTTACAAAATGTTAAGACCACATAAAATGATGTACAGTTATTAATGCTTTAGTCGTGGTTTCTAATTGATCTATAGCCCTGGATGTCCATATGAGGCTGCCATATAACATTACAAGGTTTTTGACATTCGTATATGGATGCCATTGAAACGCCTTTAGTCAGTAAGGCATCTCATGACTTGAAAAAATTGGGGATTTCCTTTTTTTTTTATTTTATAGGTTTGATCCAAACTTATTTTCTGTTTTTTTTTAATTTATTAACTATTTCTTTGCCACTAGTTTTTTTTCCAAACTGAATGTTTTAGTTTTGTTGCTTGAAGTTAACTATTACCACTGATACCAGCATACTTTATTCCCACAACTTTTTTATATTTTTGTATTGTGATGACTTGGTAGCCTTTCCTGAATGTTACTAATAATTAGGTGGGGAAAATTTAAGATTTGAAATGTTTTTACTATTGTTTGTTTGGTAAACATTTGAAATCATTAAAACATATAACCACAAAAACGTTTTTATTGACTTGTGTTAACAAAAGCATAAGGAGAGAATTGTATGCAGTCAATATAAGCATTTACACCTTTGAACACATAGCATGGAGAGAGGTTTGCTGTTGTTTGGGCAACATTGCTATGAAAATATCCAGGTTTTCATCTTATTTCTGAAATGAATCGTAGTTGCCCTCTGACTTAATAGGCCAACAGCCTTTGGACCTACAGGTTTGGATCCTTCAGAGTAAATGAATACTGTACATTTCTGTCTGACTTAATACAAACTTAGTCAATCTAAACTTTTATTTCTGATCTGTGTAATTATAAAAACAAATTCAAGTTTTTAAATTTTACTTTTTATTACTTGTAATGTACATCAACATTTTGACAAGACAAAAAAAAAACGTATTGAAGAATCCATTATTGTTGCACAAGTTATCATGAAGTGACACCAAGCACAGAATATGTACATGTGTTATTTATACACAAGTTCTCTCTGAAGTATGCTATGTAACTCAACATCTTTTATACACAACTGTACAATGTAATGATCTGGATCTTTTTTTCCCCATTAATAGACACTAGAGCAGGAGTCCATGGCTTCCAGGAGTGTAAATTTACTGTTAAATTGTGACCAAAGCAACATAAACTTTTGAATTAACTATAAGTAGATCTACATTGAAACTTATTTATGTAACTGTAGTTGTACAATTTGGATAGGTCAGTATGTAATTATCTTAGAAGGTAACGACCATTTGATATAAATTAGTTTAATTTGATTGCAGGAGACAAATTTCAAGTAGACCTGTAATCTTGTCCTGCAAGAAAACATAAGGAGGGAAGTCTAGGTTTCTAATATTAAAAAAAAAATCTACTTACAAACTCAATATGTACCAATTGTAATTTTAAACTGAATGGAAAAAGTCACTGAATTGCCCATTGTGTATTTCAGTGAATGACTGCATTACATTTGCTAAAATATGCAGGTCGCAAATGTTTTCGTGCAGTCATGTGAAATACTGCACTCATCCTAAACCTCCAGAATAGAAGATGAGACAATGCCTTGTAGTTCAGCTATAAAAATTGCTACATTTTGATGACTATAAAATGTAAATAATTAGGGAAAATTACTGGCTGTACAGCAGAATTAGAATGACTATGTAGACAAGATCCAATTGTTAAAAAAAAAATAATTTTAGTTAAAATAACTATAGACAGGTTTCTGATTTAGCAAACTTAATTTTCGGTGGTTAAATAAAGAGATCTGAAGGTGATCATTAAGCTGAGCCATATGTATCATAAAATGGAAACATTAGCTGTACCATATTGATGTCTCAGGCCTTTAGAGACAAATTCTATTCACCATTGTTGTTTTAAGGTATTATTGCAAGTTTTCATTAACTATGTTGAGCTTTAAAAAAAAAAGTAATACCGTATTAGGTTTGGTGTGAAGTCCTATAATAATACCTTCAAGTTATAACTACAATACATATGTAACAATAATAAAAATAAATGAAATTTTTTTTTGTTAGAAACAAACAAACATACCAAATCAGCAGTTTTTTTTGTTTTTTTTTAAACCTACACCTGTAGATAATTTTGTACCAAAAAAATACACTCAATTTTTTTTGGATACCATTTCAAGGCATTTACTTTATATAGTAAGTAACAAGACTACAGCAAATAATGTTTACAGCATGTTAACAAGATCAAATAGAAGTGTACACTTATCACCTGTGAATAGATCAATATACAGATCAAGCTGCCTTCCCTCAACAAGATAGAATTAGACAAGATAAAAATCACCCTTATATTTACACACAACTCCTTAGGCTTAACTTGACTTTCCTACTCTGTATTGTTACTTACAAACTAAAGGATATGAATTAGGCTTTAACCGAACTCATGTCATGATTAAAAGTTGGGTAAGCAGTCTTTTAACTACCATGCAAGTTGGATGTCTCATTTTGTTACCGTACTAAGCTGTGACAAAAGTTCATGTCATGGTGTTCTTTTCAATAAGATGGGCTATTTTTATTTTTCAGATTAGGCATTGAGAGAGCTCATGCTATGCCCCTAAAATTTGGCATTTGCAGAGCTCATGCCTTGCCCCTCAAGTTTGGCTGTGATAAATTGTCTAAGTTTTATTTTATACCATATGAACTAAGCTAAATTAAATAGACAACTATCAAACAACATTATTAATTAAACAAAAATGATTTAGATGTTCTTTAGTAACAAATATTTCTTTACTAAAATGCTATTTAATGTTTTATCTAGCAATTACGTTAAGGACAACATAATCAAACTCTGCACTACAATGCTAGAGAACAAAAAAATACTGCCATATTGAAAGAAATGAAACTAAGAATTATTACAGAAACAAGATGTTATTAAATAAAAGATCTGTAAAAAATTTTTTTTTCCATTTTTCTAATTTTGACAAAAAGATAAACTCAATTATAGAAGAGAAAAAAATATTTCTGACAGACTTATTGTGTTGAGTGGCATTAAACAGAGAATGTTCATTAGTCACTTTCATTCCGTTACAGGCTGATATTCAATGTATACAAAAACAAATTGCTGTTGTGTACTACATGGCCCATACCTGTGTAGATTTATAGGCTTCCAACTGAATCCTACACAGCCCATGTTCTAAACGTCAGAATTATTCCACAAAGAGACTGATTGTAGGAATAAATTAGTCTATGTCCTGATAGTATTTGTCAATGAATAAGGATATTCCTGGTCATCCAGAGAAGGTGTTATGTTCTTGTGGTAGATACAATGAGGGATAAAAATATGAATAAGCTATGTTATCTCACACACATCATTTGAGTTTGAGCTTTATGGAGTTTTTGAGGGGCTGGAGAAATCCGGTAGAATTGATGGGCTGTGGACTTGACAAATCTGAAAGTTCATTACTCGGATGATGGTCTACATGCTGAAAAGAACAATTTGTAAGAATAGAATTAGTCTTTTCAAAGAAAAAATACATAAACATAGCCAGAATTCTTTATGGTAAATGGTTACAGATATACAATAGTCATTTTTTCTTTAACAGTTCTAAATTGTCTATCTGAATTGCACGTTTCATAATAATAATGAAACATTTCAGTGCACTGCCATTGTTGGGACATGTTATCAATTTGGTTACAATTTGATTGTTCAATACAGAGACAAAGAGTACAGTTGAAAAAAATATGCAGCTTAGAATATTGTTATTCAAGGTTTGCAAAAAAAGTTTCATTAATACCATATGAATTTCGGAAACCAATGTCTGTGTTTACAGTGTTGTCAAAGTGATACAGAGCTCTCAATCTTTCTAAATACTGTAGCTTGAAACAGTATTTAGAAATATTACATTCACAAATGGCTTATATTGTTTGACATTAGTGATGCTTACAGAAAATTCAGAATTTCATTTCTGTATGAAAAATGTCAAAATGCATTCTTTTTTTTTGAAAAAAAAATCTAACAAAATCTTCTGGAAAAAAATGTGTCTGATGAATTTTTGTCATCATAATTTTCAGAATATTCCCCACCAGGAAAATAAAATAAAAATCTTTATCTTTTAACATGAAAACAAATAAATGGAAAAAAGTCTTGACTTTAACAGTAGAAGAAATTGAGTGATGAATTTTTTGGAAAATTTCTATTGTATAGATATGTAACAGGAGAAGGTTTCTATGCTGTATTTTCACTTATAAAAGTAGGTTTTTAAGTCTTTTGCTGGTTAAAATATTTTTGCAAACAGCCTAATTCTCTACACAAGATTTATCTCCTCTTAGCTTGGTGGGTCCCTAATTAATTTTTCTTTCATTGATTCATGTTTTGTCATCCAAATTGTGCAAAGTTTCAATTTGATCCAAGATTGGGAAATGGGTGAAAGAAGGTGGACAAGATTTCACCCACCCAAACACACAGAGTTTTTTGATGAAAGCTTTGTAAAAATGTATGATAACACTACCTTGTTGGCTATAGATTTGGTTGCTGCATCAGAAAGGGATGGTTGGTGCTGTTGTGAAGGTGGTACTAAATGCTGTGTTGTGGCTGAAGAGGACTGTTTCTCATCGACCTGCATGGGGGAACCTGGAACCTGTCAAATCAAAAAGGAAATGCTTAATTTAATGCTGCAAAGGAAAATAAATATAAAATTTAATCAAATAAAGAACATTTTAGAAGGCTGATTTCTACTGTTGATCAACATCATTTAGAATAGAATTACAAGATTACTTAATTACTAATTTAATGTGATGTAAAATGAAATTTGTGTGACATTAGCAAATTACTTCTTAAAAAAATAAAATAGCAATGTAATAAATATTAATTGCTTTCACACAAAAAAATCAAACATGTAGCACAGACATTTATGTTCATAGTAACATATTGGTTAGAATCTACAATTTTTCCATTAGCTATATTAGTAGAAACAATAAATTATCAAGAAGATAAAGCAGTAAGTTTGTTAACATAGAAGCTTTCACTGCTTGCCTTCCTTAACCTTTGTCTGCTTCATTGAGAGTTCTCACGTTCTAAGACTTTTACTTTATTTGTTCAGACCAACAACAGTTTTGATACTTGATTATTTCTTTTTTTTTTTAACCTTTAAATTAAATTACAATTTAACTTTTGTTTCTCATGAAATCTATTTATATTATATATATACATGTGAAAGGGTTAGTAGCACTTTTCCATGACAAAATTTTAGTTTTTTTAAGGATGAAATGTATAATGCATATAAATAAATACAATGTATATATTAGTGGGTGTGTGCCCCACCCGTTTGTGTGGGACTGTTGTAAACATACACAAAACTATGAAATCAATTATTGTTACTTGATTTTGGAAATAATAAATATCTTGCCAACATCCCACCCAGAACAGAAACAATGTCATCAGCTGTGGTACATCCACAGAAAAATGTAATGAAATATATCTTTTAATCAAGTGACAACTTGACTGTCATCCCAAAACCTCAAACAACCTTTTTTTACTTACTTTTTGCTTACTAAATAATGGATTTTGGATTTGAGAAAAGGAAGAGGGATGGGGGGTTTGTATTAGACCAATTAGATTTTTTTTTCAAGCAGAATTTCTTTATCAACTAGATCTATGTAGTTTCTCTGGCTTTAACGTCTAAAATAACTTTTATGGACTTTTCACGATTGTGTGCTAAATATTTTTGCTAAATCTACATTAGATCTAGACTCTTGATTCAAGCCACTAAAATGTGCAGACTTTTCACGGCTGTGTGAGAATTTATATTCACTGAATTTAAAGTAGATCTAGACTCAAACTCTTAGTCACTAAATTCGCGGACTTTTCATGGCTGTGTGAGAATTATCTTCACTGAATTTAAGGTAGAACTAGACTCTTGGTCCAAAGCACTAAAATTTGAAGGCCTTTCACAGCTGAGTGAATTATCTTCCCTGAATCTACCTTAAATCTAGATCTAAGTCACTAAAATTCGGCTTCACAGGTTAGTAGTCTAATTATCTTCACTAGTAGTAATTATCTTCACTAGATTCTAGTGATTTAGCATAAATCTAGAGTCTAGATGTAAGTATTCTAAGTCACTAAATTCTAGGACTTTTCACAGCTGTCTATCTTCACTAGATTCTAGTGATTTAGCCTAAATTTAGAATCTAGCGTTATTTCTAGAGTAATATAGACATCTGATGTATCTAGATCATCACTAGGTGTGAATTATCTTCACTAGATCTAGCTCTAGATACAATTACTACATCTAGCTAGATGATTTACAGACTTACGATGTGCGAAGACACTCTTACTGTTACAAGAAGTGAGGGAGGACCCCAAGGGGTGTATAGCCTACACATTAGGCTGGTAATTGCTCTAGCTATAGACAATAGTCACTACACACTAAAATCTAGCGTGTCTTCAGCCACAACAATGAAAGGGAAACAACTGCCTTCAGAAAAATAATGCCAGGTGAAAATGCCTGCTTGAGCCAAGGCCATCTTCAATCACGACGTCGCGATTTACAAGCGGGTGAAAGACAAGCGTAGACGCATCACTGGCCAGCTCATTATCACAGACAGCCATAATGTCATGTGATCAGTATGCCTAGCTATGCTTTGCCCCCCCCCCCCCCCCCCCCATCTGTAGCAAGAAATATTCTTTTTCTATTTAAAAAATATTTTGGGTACAAATTTTTAGGAGACCAAAAAGGCAATGCTGAATTCAATTCTGCCAAGGAGAAGTCTGGCCATTTTTTTTTTAAAGGAGAATTTTAGGGTTTTAGGAGGCTTTTTCAGTTTTTAGGGGATTTTAGGAGCGCCACAAACCCTGATGTGAAAGTCCTAGCTGTTTGACTCAATCATCCCTAATTCTCTCAATAAGAGGCGATAAAAAAAAAAAAAAAAAAAAAAGTGAAATTTCATACAGTTATAAAAACTAGGCACTTTTGCGTTAAAAAATAACTATTAGGCTCAACTATTTCAAATTGATTTTTGTTCGCTTTCTTTAGATCATATTTTTTAATTGTTTAGTTTGACTTTTTATAAATTATGTCATATTGTGTTTTCCTTTTTTTTTTTATTGCCAAAATG